ACTCAACTTCGAAGTCACCCTGTATAGGTGAAAAATTAAAGCTTCCGCCTTTTGTTGGGTACTTCGACAAAATTTAAGCAAAGAGGACTCTTTATACTTTTTTAATTCTCTCTAGCTTTCAATGGACTTTGCCATCGTCATCAGGAGCTGCAATTACAATGATAACAGTAGCAACAATAGTGTAAAATGAATTTAAATTGACTCAACTTACAGTAGTATGTGAGGATGTTACTAATTGTTGTTTACGTGTAGGATGAGGGAAACGTCCAGTAACATGGTGAGAGCTGGATAGATGGTACAATGGTCAAAATTATATAAAATATGACAAGAACAAGTTAAAAACAGATTATAAATTATTTACAAACATTAAAGCATTACATCGTGAAGACACTTGATGATTGCACAAAATGGTGGTCATGGAATAATGAGTGAGATGAACCCTTTGACAGAAAGCCGAAGGTTGTCAATGTCTGTGTCTGAGTCTGTCCAGCTCTCCTAATGTTACTGGACGTTTCCCTCATCCTATACGTAAACAACAATTAGCAACATCCTCACATACTACTGTAAGTTGAGCCAATTTAAATTCATTTTACACTATTGTTGCTACTGTTATCATTGTAATTGCAGCTCCTGATGATGATGGCAAAGTCAATTGAAAGCTAGAGAGAATTAAAAAAGTATAAAGAGTCCTCTTTGCTTAAATTTTGTCGAAGTACCCAACAAAAGGCGGAAGCTTTAATTTTTCACCTAACTGGTCTAGACGACAATGACCACGTCTCAAGTTATATATATATATATATATGGTTTATCATACTTGTTACCATAAAAACTCTTAAAGTTTGTAATGTTTGTGTGTCATTTGCTCATGTGTAATAGAGTTCGAACGAGTCGCATATGCAATCTGGTCTAGGGCCGGAATAAATGATTAAATAAACACACAAACTTCAAGTTTTTTTGGAATCAGGAAAAAGGTCTAACATTTTCACTGAAAATATACATGGTGTTCCATTTACATGAACACAACTTTATTCAGTATCACTTTTCTGAGATAGAAAAAAATTACTTGAACACCTTCATATTATACCCTATACTTTTTGGAAGGTCATATAAAAAAGTTAAAGGGGGTCAATTTATAGCACGACATGTCTATCTTGTTATAATCCGGTTGGCTAAATGGCAACAGCTACCTAAAACTCCGGGCATTAGAATATGTGGAGAAATATACTAAGTGACATATAAATCCGAACACCCAGTTTAAATGGTTTTATTTTAATAAAAGTTGGTGAATGTATTTATCTTACTGTAAATAACAAGTGAAAAAATTTTCAGCCTTATCAGTTGGACATTCCGGTTTTTATACTGCATTTTTTTAATTCACTAACGCTCTAAAAATGAATATTTCAGCCGCAGTAAAGAATCAACGTTGGCGGATTTTGGTTCTTGACATCCTTTACGATCGGTTACGATGCCTAGAGTACGGAGACCTGTACGATTTCGTCAACTTAGTGACGAGTCTCGATTTTTGTTTAGGCATGCACGATGGTCGTGCCAGGGTTAGAAGGCGACGTGGTGAAAGGAGGAATCCACAGTTTTTTGTTGAAAGACATGTTCATCACACTGTTGGAGATATGGTTTGGGGTGCTATAGCTTATGGTTCCAGGTCACCTTTAATCTTCATCAGAGGTAACATGAACGCGCAGCGTTATATCCACGAAGTTCTAGAACCCCATCTTTTACCCTATCCTGACACCCTGGCAGATCCAACTTTCCAACAAGATAATGCCCGACCACATGTTGCAAGAGTCACAATAGACATCTTTCAACAAAATGATGTCACATTGTTACCATGGCCACCAAGATTTCCCGACTTATCCCCAATTGAGCACGTGTGGGATATGATGGGTAGGAGATTGCTCAATTTGCAACGTCATCCTTAGACTTTAGAAGCACTTCGAGAGGAGTTGGTGGTTGCCTGGAATGAGATACCACAGGAGGACATTGACCACGTGATCAGAAGCATGCCTAGGCGCGTTGGAGAATGCGTAGCACATCAGGGTGCATCCACACATTATTAAAGGTCAAAGGGCTTTAAAGCAGTGCAATCATTTTGAAATTTTTGTCATTTACTTATTATGCTTCAGTAAGTACTGATACAAAATTTTATTAAAATGAAACCATTTAAACTGGGTGTTCGGATTTATATGTCACTTAGTATATATCTAGACGTTGGTCAGAGAATTTCTTACTGACACGTTTTTTTTTGGTTGGTAACAGTAATACTAAACATAGGTAGATGGGATACTTATGGATAAAATCGGATATAATTAATTTGCACCTTTTTGTATCCAAACAAAGGAGACTTAACTCGTTATCATCCACACCAGAAATTACTGATTTCCGATACCGCGGGACGCAATTTTTTACATTCACTCTTTTGTACTCGTTTATCATAAATAATAATAAATTGCACTCAATTTGGACGGTCCATTTTTAACATATTGGAATTTGATGGCTGGAATGTATTGCGAACAACAACCAACGCCTAGACGTTCTTGTTACCTCATATAAATGTCCGGAGTAATCTGGTAAAATGCCTATAGCTAATTTTCATCGGGCAGCCTCGGAGAAAGGGATATGTTTTTCATGCCTGGATACGAGTATGTATCTAAAAAATTCTATTTGACGTGATACAGGCCTAACGGTTTGATGAATTCTGATGTATGATGCCAATGATACTGGCTTTATTAAATTTTTATAAAACAAAATGTCGGATTTTAATAAAAAAAATCGACCTTGAAATTTTGTTGGTTGTTTGTAGTTTTTGTAAATGAACTTGTTTCTGTAAGTTTTTTTGGGACATGCGACTCATCCATATTTTATTTTTGAGCTTCTGTTCATTGACTGTACTAGAAAACAGTGTGATCCTCAAAAGAGTTAATGAAGAGAAGCATATATTCTGTTTAACTTGACTAGATATTTTTAATATAGGTTTTTTAAGACAGTGGTAGTGCAACCTAAAATAAATTCGATCAAAAATTACTCAGTCAATAATTGTTGGTCAATATCAAAACTTGTTGATCGTGCCTTCCAATTTCTTGTATTTCCTTTTACCTGGCAAAAAATACTTATTCTCTGATTCTCAATTTGAATATATCCTTGGAATGTCTAAACTGTGTGACTATTTTTTAAGTTTTTTGTGGCATCTAAATAGGGAAATAGCAAATGCTCGGAATTTTAAATCGAAGTAGAAATGCTAGAATTTGGTTCAGATCCGACAGAGTATACCGTATTTGCTCCATTTCAACAAGTCAAGTTAATCAGAACAAAAATTCTCTTTGTTATCATTAACTTTATACCATATGTAGTCTAATATGAGCCACATCTTTGGTCAAATATGAGCCTCGAATTGATAATTGAACTTAAGATACTTGAATTTATTTCTATATGCAAATTTTGCAAATTATTATTTTTGCTATTAACCTATTTGACCAAAGTTGGACGATACCTAATCTACAACGCCTACATTTTAATTTACATGTGGTTTGCACAGAAGCTTATATAGTTAGATGCAGATTAGATTAAAACCTCTGAAGTCACGACGAAGTAAAAACAATTCTAGGATGAATACGAGCAGGACATACTGCATAATTATTTAAAACCGTTCGATGCAAGCATTGCCATTCAAATATTTTCATGATTGCATCGACTTTGATGGATTTTGGGGACCGATGTTATTTAAGACCACAGTAGGAATGGCTGCATTTTTGCAAATCAGAAGTAGCCAGAAGGGGCAAAAAGCATTATGTAAAATTATTCGGGAGCATATTTGTTATACCACGTTTAAAAATTTATATCACTATTGGCGTGCTGCAAAAATACTTCAAAAGCATAAACATTTTCAATGGCAAAGAAACTTAAATTAGATGACTAAAATCTTCAATCTCACCTATCCATGTTTTCTCGGATGCGGATATCATAGGGCTAGCGCACACCAGCAGAGGGCAGGGAGGCAAACCGTTTTCGACGCTCTCTCTGCCGTTCGCCGGTGTGCGATAGCTCTTGGTCGTACTTAAACTATTTTGGACAACCGAAAATGTGTTAGAGCTCTAGTTGTTTCATGACCTCGAATCAGTTACATATAGATTAACGCTGAATCTTTTTTAGAATGGCCAGAGTTGCTGTGGGTGAGCAAGTTGGGTCTATCGTCATACGTAGTATACAAAGTCATTCTTGACCTAAACTAACATAGTTTTGCAGAATTGTATTATTCAATAGGTATAATAGATCCGATCAAATTGAGCGTACTCTGGAAGTATTCATATTTTGAGTTAAGAGAGCCATTGTTTGCAAAATTACAAGCCATAGAAATGTGCAAGTACTGAAAAATATTATCCCAATAGTTATTCTGGGAGTTGAATTTGGCGCCACTCTTCAACGACTTGACTTACACATTGAGAGACCCGGGAATTTAATTAGTGGATCTTTTTACGACAGATAAACTCTTCAGAATTGTTCAAACATAATAATAAGCGAGTTCACCCTCATTTTTTCATGGAAAGTGAGATGGTGGAATGGAACAGCACATGTTCACTGTGAGCGTTATATGGACTTCACGTGACCCCAGTTGGATAATGGGCTCGTTGAAAAGACGTTCTTCAAACAAGGTAAGGCCTATACTCGTACGGTGAGGTAAAATCTTGCCATTTTTTGTGACGATTCCTGAAGGGTACTAGGTACTCAAATGATATTCAGACGATTAATGACCTGACGCAAATGGTTTTCAAAGGTATTGGTGAAATTGTGCTCTATAAACAGCTGTGAGGGTCATTTCAACAATATAAAATAGACAAAGCTCACAATATCACTAGCCTGTATTCTTTGTTGACTTGCCGTACCTCCGCCGTCGGTTGATGTGTTCATCTCTCTTTTCGCGTGAAAATTCCGAGAAATAGCTGTCATTTTCAAGAGAGAAAGTAATTCTCATAAAATCTCAAGATATGTTAGAGTTTGTTCAAAACGCAGTTTAGTCGCTCAATGCGTAGAAAGCTCCCAGTTTGAAATCCGGATTGAATTGGCCCAGTAAAGTTCAAATTGTGATTGAAACATAGCATGGTTCGTCGTGACTTCAGACCATTAATTAAAATAGATCTCACTTGGAAAACCGTGACGGTGGCCCACAGGATGTTGTTGAAATGTTTGCGGTCGCACAAACACTTGTTCTCGTTCATCATCTCGCATCCACAGTCCCTGGTGTTTCCTTGGTCGTCTGTGTAGGTGCAAAACTTACCCCCGAACAAGTACATGCCCAGAATGCTGCCAGACAGATATGCGGAATGCGTCAATTGTGTTAGATGAGAGGGTATGGGGGCTAGGTCGATGATTTGTGAACTATTTACTAAGTTTGGGTGATGTTGGTTAGTTTTTGATGATCGTATCTTGATTGGCGCTGCTGCTTAACTAGATACAGTTATCAGTCCAATCAAAATGGCCTTTTCGAGGAAAAATGGACATTTAAGCTGCATATCGTTGTGTCCTGCGAAATTAGTATCTAGGCTTGTTTTGGAAGACTACCGATAGTGTATGTATGGAATATGACATCTTCCAATCGTCAGCCACGCCATTGCTCACTGAGGTGGCCGACTCGATGACTGTAGAGAATTTGAGTGATGTCCTGGTGATATTGACCACATAACACCTACTTTATGAAAGAAAGTTAAATGACTGATTTTGAAGGTATGTTTGGTAGGCAACCAAATAATCTTATATAGTTAGTATAGAGTATACCCACAGACTGGCGCTGATGCTGGATTTTCCTGTCGTTCTTTTTGACAGTCAAATGTTCAATGCTTTGACGTAGATGTATTCGTAATTCTGAATTGAAAGTTGAATTTTGTGCGGCGCCGGCGTTTTTATTAGTCTTCTGACTCTGATACTGATGTCTATTGAGCGTTTAACTGAATTTAAATTTACAAACTTAATCTTTGTAATAGAGGCTTATCGCAAGCGGGGATTTAGAAAGTGCGTGGTGCCTGGTTGTACTGATACAATCAGTAAAAGGCATACATTTCCAAAATATGATGCCGCTGTTTTTAACATATGGAAATCCAGTTTTGGACAATAAATGTCACGAACAAATTCATAAATGCCATTTGGTGCATGACACATTTTTCGGAAAGTCATAAAACTTTGATTACATATATAAACCAGGTACATGCAATGTGTGTTCAGTGAATAATCAGGATTAAATGATTCGAACATTTGGGTGTCCCAAAAACTTTCACAGCAAAAATTTATCTAGCATAAACATAATAAAATTCGATTCTTTTTTTAGGTATGGTTTCGGAAAATGTTCAGAGTAGTCCCGAAATTCATGAAGGGAGTAGAGAAATTGCTAATTGTAAATTTACATAGTACAATACCGATTATTTTTAGAGTACTAACAACTTGCATAACTGTTATTGTTATGTATTGTATTAAAAAATACACATTTTAAACATAAAATCAGGCTGAGACTTATTTTACTCAAAATATCTTGTATACAATTTGGAAATTTGATTCAAATTTAGCTCCACAGTGTAAAAGGGAAGTCCAAAGATGATATTTTTAAAGGGTTCTATAACAGTTCGTACAGGTTCTATAAAAAGTTCGGAGTATATCCCAGGGATGGCGCTACAAACTTCGTCACAAACCTTAGCATTACAGGGCTGCGTTCGTAAATAATTGTTACAGAGTGTACTTTGTATTACTCTGTATCAGTTTTAGCGTTAGTAATTGTTTGACGTACATGTTACTTGCGTTCGGAAATAGATCAACGTAATCCTTCTGAAACGTCAAAAGAGTGATTTTCTTCCCGATCTGAAAACCTTGGGAATTCGAGTTCTGCCACTTGTCATTCTCATAGTTTATTGCTTGTTTATTTTATTTGGTTATCAAAAACTGCTCAAAATTGGCAGAATATATATTTTTCATGAAAAATGCTACCCCCCTAGGGTCTCTTATAATAATGACAATGGTCGCAATAAAACGTGGTTAGAATTTAGTCGGCCGTCATCAAGTGTCATTACATGACTCTGTAATAACTTAGGCATACTAAAAATAAAATTTCACAGTATTCCAGAGTAATGTTTCATCTATCAATCTACATTCCATTACTATGTACGGTATTACATTACCAAGTGATTTACAAACGCACCCCAGTATGAACGCATTGCAGAATGGAGCGCCAAAATAAACACTTGATTGCAGGTTAGGCTGTGAAAATGGCCAGATTTTTGTATTGATCTACATATAGTGGGTGTTAAAAGTACCTGGCTATAGTTCAACGGGTGATTTCTTGGTAACTCTATAAAACGGAGTTCCTATAAACGTGGGTTCGAAGATACTTCGCTTCCATGATACAGGGTGACAAACTTTATCTGAAAGTCATGTTTTCTCATACAAGTTCAACCCTTTAGCTGATTTTGCTAAAATTTATTAATATTCAGACGATATTGCCGAGAATTTAATAAAGTTGAAAAACAAAAACATGCTAATAAAAAACTAAAAAGTTGAAATTCGATTACTTATATGACAATTTCTGGATGTATAATAAGGTGTTTTTTTAATGACTGTACTTGAACTTTTTAACAAAAAGATATGTCGATTTAAAAAAAAAATTCAATAAACTTTGACTCCCCGTGTCTTGAAATTGGAGCGATTCCATATATAAGTTTATAAAAACTGTTTTCCTTAAATTATTCAATAGCTCATTCCTTGAATTTTGTCCAGATATTTAACAACAACCTATGTAGAGCTTCTACTACGTTACGTTAGAAATTTTTGGAATTCGAAGCACGTTTGAAGTATTGAGGTGTCAACTTGCCAATATGTATGACGGAACCCCCTAAGAAGAGTTCTCCATACGTTAACGGGATTTTAGCGATGATGCGCCTAATAGAGAGTGTCAAGACCGCTAGATGCATTGGACTTTTAGACACCTGACCAAAACCATGCGATTTGAGTCCATTAATGAAGTTTTCTGAAGACGCAGGTCTATGTGAATAAGTCGCATTCACCAATGCCCTTGAAGTCAATATAACATATTACTCAGATCACGTTAGTTTTATTCGATAGTCAGTAAAAATTGGCCTTCTTGGATCTATGCCATCAAGTGAAGACGCTTAGGATATTTTTGAAAGATGTCAAATTGTATCCTTTTTTTGATTATTGGCAGCCTGAGAGTTCATTTTTCCTTGAAATGGCCTTTCTGGACCAAGTATTATACTGTTCGGCGAAAAAAACTAAGAAAGTAGCTCGAGGCTCTTGTCAAGTTGATATTATAGATAATAAATAAATTAAAATGGACATGTTCACTTTTCGTCTCTGTAACTCTGACCAACCGCTGACAGCGCTGTTTTGTGCAGTGTAGGTCTAGTCTTGGCAACAGACAAACGGAAAGTAAACATGTGGGTATGTCCTCTTGAAAAACTCACAAGCATGTGAGGAATCCGACGATTTCCACCTACCAATGAACAGGTGACAGAAAGGTCCATACGTCTCTGGCTCATAACTCTTCCACGTTCTGCGCTATGCACAGATAGATGCCCGTTTAGTAATCGAAATACTAAATATTCAACGGAATAAGCCAGCAATGGCTTTGTACGCATATTTGCATAAATAGACACAACATTGCATTCCGTCTCAGTAACCATTACCAACCGCAGACAATGCTGTATCGTGCTGATTAGCAACTCATCAGTGCGGTATAGGTTTAGTACCACACCCACTTGTTTGCTTGCCGTTGGTTTGTCTTCAAGACCAGACCTATACCGCACTGATAAGCTGCTAATGAACATGAAACAGCGCTGTCTGAGGTTCATCATGGTTATGGAGACGCAGAGCATATATATTAATTTTAACTTGTGTCTGTTTATGCTTATATTTACCAAAAGCCATTGCTGATTTACTCTGACTACTTGACTGGTCGACATCTACCTGTGCACAGCGCAGAACAGATGTAGGGATATTTTTGTCATCTCAATCATATGGGATGAGGATAAAAATAACTTTGGCAAGCCATTGGCAGCTTGAGATTGTTAGACTTCTCACCTACTTGCGCACAATAATAGAGTCTACCATTTTAAAAGTTGATGTATTCCTTCAAACAAAATTAACTAACCCTCACAGGAATAATTTTTCTAACAACAGTAGTTTCCAGTTGTACAAAAAAATACAACTTGCACTTTTATAATCCCACCAAATTATAAGCCTGAGGAGCCCTTTCCCCTACTTTGAATCGAAACTATTCTATAGCATTCCACCTATTGTAGTATAATCTACAAATACGGTTATATCTGCAGTTCTAACTATATTTCGACAATTCGCCGTATTGTTGCCTGTCTTAACTATGTCTACAGGTACTCGTGTTAAATTGCTGTTATATTTTGCAGGGGTGACATGTTGATTTACTATAAAAAATCACAAAAAGAAGCAAATTCATAACATGCAGTAGATACATAGCTGTAAGAAAGAGGAGATATAAATATGGCTTTTCTAAAGTGACGATTGCCATGAAAGATCGTTTTTTTCAATACTCGTCTAATTTCAAACATGACCTATTAGGACATAGGTACACTCATATAAAAAATGAATCATAGACAAAAATATCAAACATCAAGATTGTAAGACTGATGGCGTTCACCGGACAAATGGCTATAAGCAAGATCATTGTAAGAAAACTTTGATCTTCGCTAGATCATTGTGAAGAAACTGATCTTCGGTCTTTCTTGTGACTTAGGTTTGCCGGACAAATGACGTTTGTTTTTAATTACATACTCTTACATACCGCTCAAGTCGACGATTGAACGATCCACTGTTATACTCCAATGTCGAAGGTGCATTTTCATTTCTAAGACCAAAAAAATGGTTGGTCATGGATTCTATTGTTTTTGAAGTTATGTTAATGCCATTGTAATGATACTTTGTATAAGACGATCCTTCGTAGCGTTAGAGTTGCAAAGAAGTAAATGAATGATGTTTTGGTTAATGAGTCTTATTAATTTTCTGATGAAAGCTTCATGCAAGAAAAATTGAATATATAAATCATGCGGGGTAGTAGTGTTAAATCGGTGAAGAGAAATGTTTAAGAGGATTAGCAGGGTTTTCCATGGAATGTATAGATAAGCACTAGGGGAAAATACAAATTTGTTAATCGAGATAAAAACTGGTAAGAGTACCTACCTTTTAAATTCAGATTTGAGATTGACGGGTCTTAAGTTCCATATTCAATCACTTTTACTTTTACTTTAATAAAATACTTCATGCAGATTATATTT